AAAGTCTGAGACTTACCCAAGTACGGACGAAGGAGAGAAACCGGGATGGACAGTCGTCGCCCATCACGCAACTCCAGAACCCAGTCCGAAGACGATCCCCACGCTCGCGTCACGCACTCGCCGGGATAAGGGACCAAACCTGTGGCTTCCATATCCGCAGTCAACGCCGGCTTTGGACCGTTCGTAGGGGTCGAGACCTTCGCTGGAGCACTTGACAGTGGGTTCAACACAGATCCCTCCAGAGAGCTTTGAAACGGTGCTATGGGTTTAGGGCCAAATTGATTCTGAATTGATTTAGCCTTTGAGACTGCTTTAGGCCTCCAGACAAATTTTGCTTTGGGCTTATGAAATCTCATACGAGGGCGTGATCTATTGGGCTTCAAGTCAATTCGAGGATTAGGCCCACAAGGGAACTCTGGGCCTTGCTTGTGTCCACAAATATTAGCTTGCTTAACCCCCCAAGCCCCATCCAGCCCACGCACAATTTGGATATTCAAACAAAATTGTAACCTCCCCGTCTCTGTCCCCGTACTGTCAGAATTACAGGTTGCCATATTGAGCGAAATCTTTTCCATTTTCGGCTGAAAATCCTGCACGATCTCTGTACTGTCCCCCAAATTAATAACCGCCTGCTTTCCTTTAGCATCGCCGGCCGGTAAGGCGGTGGAAGACGCCGCCTCAGCATACAAAACTTTTCCGGCTTCATTTTTCTGCTGATTCGCCGGAACAGGATAAGTCCTCAGAACACCATGCTTGACCTCAGGGACACAATGCCGGCGTAACTCCACCCCAAACCCACGCCAACCAACACCATTTCTCCCCTCTGGAATAATAATAGCACCCTTGCGTCCTCCTCTATGGATTTCCTGAATAGAAATAAACCTGCCTTTCCGGTTAGAGCAGCGTTGCAAGAAAATAACAGCATCACCCACCCGAAAAGTTCTGGCGAAAGACTCAATGTATGGTTTAGAGATGAGGTCTTCAATGGCACCAGCCACTCTAATGGCACATCCTCTCCCCATAACCACTGAGTGAACAAAACCCCTTCCCAACTCATTTATACGTATACTGTGAACCCCTCCTCCTTCAAGAATGAATTCGAAGGTTTTAAATTCAATGGATAAAAAACGAACTCCTCCCATATTAAATTAAAAATTGAGAATACAAACACTAGGAAGAACTTGGAAAAAGTTTTTGAGAGCACTTGGAAGAAAAATTTTTAGAGAGCATTTTTTTTACTCACAGATTAATATTAGGGTGGACAGCAGTGGACTTACAGTTAAGTAAGATGGCAAGTCAAGAAAATAAATATTGGAAACAACCCTTATAAGTATAGGGAATAAGCGAAGTGATTCGAGCATAAAGTTTCTTGATTACATTTTAAGGTAAAGCTAAGGGCAAATTTCATTTTTTTTAAAAATGACTTCTAATAGTTTTAAGTAACCCTGGGACAAAGTTCCATGCTAAGATGACGCCCTAACGGAGACAATATAAGCAATGATCCTTTCAAGTAAAGACCAAGGCTGTGGTCTTATACCTACCAAAATGCCAAAATAGACCACAAACAAGTGCTAGGAACTCTCTAAGACATAGAAGAACAAACATAAACATGGCATAGACATGCAAACACATTATTTTTTAAAAAATGAAATAAAACACAAATATGTCAATTAACATAATATTAAAATATTTTTTTACTTTGTTTTTTAATTTATCTTTTTATATTTCTGAGGAAGATGAACAGTAAAAATGGAGAACTGAAGGATCTAAGGTTCCATGGCAGAAGGAAGAGCAGCTGTAATAATGGAAAAATGCATTAACTTTGATTTTCAAACATTCTGATTGTTTTTATCTTGAATGTGGTGGGGTAGTCAAGTGATTCTTGAGCTGTAGCATCTCTAAATAATATAGCAAAAATGATTAATCCCAGTATCTCAAGATGAAAATCTAAGCTAGACTTGGAAGTAAAGTGAAAACCTTCCTTGGCTGCAAAGGCATGTATGAACACAGTTCCCTTTGTTCCCAAACCCAAAGTGCCTTAGAGAGAAAGTTGAATCCTCTTCATGAATTCCCCAAAGTGGATTTGGCAAGTTTGCTCTTGGGAAGTGAAAGTTAAGTAGGTTTGTATTGCCTTTCTTCTATGGGGATACTCATAGGTATTGTCTCGAAAAAATATTTTTATACCAGTATTGTATAGCTACATCAGCCCTAACAGAATATTAGAGGTATCCATCTATGGGACATCACGAGAAATGTTATCTGAAAAAGGTTCTACGTTAACTGGAATAGGTGTTTTCAGTAACATGCTTAGCCCCTGTTTGACCTTCATTAAAATTATAATTCATTTCTTTCACTTCTTATCAACCACACATTCTCCAATAAAATAATATTATACATAAACCCAAAAATTTTCCTTCTTTTTTAACCACGTATTCTCCAAAAAATTACTATTCCAAAATACATTTTCTCCAAAATTCAATTATAATGGAGCTCAAACAGGGGCTAAGTTTATACCATTTAGTTGTTCTAGGAATAGTAGACATTGATCTATCACTAGACCTAGCTAGACAAGACTGTCGAATATCAACACACAAGTGCATGCCTACCTCAAAGTAAGAACATCGGTATTTTTCAATTTCTGTTGTTTCCTCTAAGCCTCAAATAAATGTAAATAATTCCATAATCTCAATTTGTAATCATTTATAAATCTAGAAATTGTGACATTAGGAGCTTTATGACTGTCACGTCAGAAAATTAGCTCCATGAAGCAAGCATTTTTACTCAGATAGGTTGGTGCTTATTTCTCTTCCACTATTAGTAAATAAAAAATGATTTAAAAATGACTATATTACTCTATCTTATCCTTGAAAATGTAGAATCGGATTAAAGTTCATCCTGCAGTTCCACAGGAATAAATGAACTGCATACCTTCACATATATGAATCAAATCAAATGTCTTGATCAGAATTCAGCAAGTCAAGAGTTTAGTCGGTCTAATAGTTCAAATCAATTCATTCAAGAGTAACAGCTAACATAATCAAGTGAAAATGTTTGACAGTTATAATCAAGAAACCCTACCCTTCCTATTACGGCTTCTCCATTGACATTTGATATGACAGCATCATTAGCACGTATAGCCCAGTGTCTCCAATACAATTGGCAAGAACTGAACTTCATTCCTTTGATGACACATCCACCAGGGGAAAGAGACATGCGGATTGAATAAGCAAAAAAAAACTTCTCTGATTCATCTTGAAGGTTACTGAACTCAGGTACAAATACAGCAGAAGCACGGACCTGAAGTTCATATCTCAATTGTCAAATGGTAAAGGTAACAAAAATGTCCTAGGCATGAGATAGGAGCAAATTGTGAGTAACAACAACAGATAATTGTTTGTGGAATAGAACATTTATACGGTAAACTCAAAGGAGGCAGCAGAACCGTGATCACAAATTGAAACAGGACTTCCCAGATTGAAAAAATTAGTTGAAAATTTGAAGGGAAAAAGGACAGCATATGATATTACAGTGTCATTTTAGTAATTTCATTCAGTTTCTTGTATCATTAATAGATCAAATGCTACTAAGACTCTCCTTGAAGAATGGGGAAAAGGATTTCTTTTAGAATGCCCGCTGCAGCAGTAGCAATATACTTTATTTAAGAGCCGCTCTCTCACTGTCGAGTGTTAGTTCCTATTGTATCGTCCTTATGCCTTGTGGTTGAAAGACCTCTCTCTGGAAAAGGATTTCTTTTAGAATGCATTTAGAAATGAGAAAACTAACTCTTACAAGTTACAAGGAGTAATAGAATTGATTTCCAAGACCTATTTAAACCTTCTAAGTTCGATACGTTGAATAGTTACAAATACAAGAGGCAGGCCACAGAAAACCTAAATTACGGTTACAACATTTCTGTTCTGGAGGTATACTACCTCACGTTCACTACAGCACTGAACTATATGCAACATTTTGCGAACACAGTCATAGTATTAGTTAATTTATGATGGCAAATTGGCAATAAGAATAAAGTAACAGAACCACGACAAAATGCAGAAGTTCTACAAGCAAAATAGAAGGCAAAACAAGATTATATAGATTTTAAGAAGGCGGGCTTTACTATGCAAGCTACTCATACATCATCAATAGAAATGTACTACATCCTTCACAAATATATTAAAAGTCATCAAGTCACATAGAAACAAGCTAAGAATCAGAAGAAAAAGAATAGCATATTGAATACATAATCAACTTTCAGGGGGTAAACATTTGGTGAAATATTAAGAGTTAAGTTAAAAAGGTAAATTTACCCAAAAAGGGGGGGAGGGGGGGGGGGGTGGGGGGGGGGGGGGGGGGGGGGGGGGGGGGGGGGGGGGGGGGGCTCCGTGATTGACTTCAGTTTGAAAAACATGGGATTCAGCTAAGCAATGAAGCTCTTGCTTCAACAAAGAGTTCAGAATTTTATGTAACTAGGTGGCCACTTGGTTAGCCAATAGACTAACCTGAAAAGTAACATCACCATCATCTGAGAATTTGCTTAAGGATTGGACCTTATAAGCACCTTTGAGAATTAGATAAATTAAAAGACTACACGAAGTTTCCAGTTTACAGTAAAATAAGAATCATAATATCAAGCCCCATGGCACAAGAGCATAAAATCAAGTAGCACATCGTTAAATTTTTCCTTCTTGGCGAACCTTAATAGCATCATCATGCAAGCGACGAACATGTTCTTCTAGCCATAATAACATGGCATCCTGTTGTTCACTACCTTTTGATTCATGCACCGAACTTATCAATGTATCTGGCACACAAGGAAGCATTTCTCCATCACCAGTAAGATTCCTCGTACCAACAAAAAGTTGACCGGTGCTACAGTTCAGGAAGAAAATCTTTTCACTGTAGGCAGCAGAAGCTGCAACAACAATATACTCAGATCTTTTGCTGAATCCAATGTGATGCATAATACTCTTGGTGTCAAGTATCACCTGACTTAAGGGCAAAAGGAACACATTAACCAGATGATCGTATAAAGAGTAGCCTCCCATAATACCCAACAAAGTTGAAGGGAAGCTTCCACTATACTCTTCATTAGGTAGTTCTTGACCATCACAAAAACGATAGAGAAGCCTCGTAGGAAGGGGCAGTTTTACTTTCATAGAATTCTCAAACTCATTGATCTCAGATTCGGATGCACCCTGGCGTAGAGTAGGCAAAACCTCTGGAAAGTTCACTGCTAACCAGCTTTTGAGTCTGCTCCAGCATCGTTTAGCTCGTATAACCAGTGACCATGGATACATAGAAAATGCTTCTCGCCATGCTTGATAAGCTGCCTGTCAAGGAAAACTTCAATCATATCCAATAGAATATCAAAAAGACACAATATCATTGCTTACACAAAACTTAGCAAACGTGTAAAAAAATATTTGCATAGAAATGAATGCAAGTGGCCCATCTCAGTAAATTCAGTTGGATTTTAAATAGGCATTGTTCAAGAGCTAGTTGTTCCATAATAAAACCCTTGGCCTCCAACTGTTTTATCTAGCTTTCGAGGATAATAATTATAGGATAAAAATTGGGCTGATTTTGGCAATGACCAGTGAAGTTTACACTAAATTCACTTTGACCACCAAACTTTAAACTGTTTAAACTTTGAAAAGGGCATTCAGTTACAAACTGGGTTAATTTCTCAGGATTCTTACGAATAACTTTGAACCTGTTTTAGAGTTTGATAATTAAACAAAGTTCAACAGTCATCCGTAAAATTAACCCGATAAAAATGATCCTTTTTTTCTAACTCAAAAATCCCAGTAAATTAAAACAAAAAAAATAAATTTCCTACCTTCAGCATCATCTGTACTGACTGTAAATATATATATATTTACCTTGAAAGAAGGGGCGGGGTTGCCGTGGGGATCAAGAGGCGAAGAGAGCTCAAGATCAAAGGAACAGAATTTGGCCCAAACGGAGTTGTCGGAGGCCCAAACGTGAAATCTCTTTCCGACGCAACTCACCGACGCAGCATCTGATGGACCCAATTTTGAGAGTATTATGTGCATCGCCAGACCCCCAACGCTCTCCAATTCCATCCTTTTTTCTTGTATTTTGATAAATTGCTTCTGATTAATTGCCGCCGGCCGATTTTGCAAGTTTGAGATAGTATTTTCGTTTTCCTTTCAGGGGAATTTTATTTTTAAACAGATACGTTCAAGAGTAAGAGTTTGTTTGTGAGAGGAAAAATTGAGTTTGAACAGTGATACGATGGGAAATGTGTGGTTGAAAAAGAAGAAAAAATTATTGATGTGATGGAAAATATTATTTTATTGAAGAATGTGTGGTTGAAAATGAGAATTGATTTACTGTAGAAAATGAGAATCCCTACCAAACATGGCCTA